GCCAACCAAGGAGCAGCCATGTAGTAAGACAAAAATGTTGACGTCAGCATATCCCATACTTTTTGAAATAAAAAAAGTCGTAGCTCCTAAACCAAGTATTCTAATTAAAATCCGATTGCAGCATCGTGTTCCTTGCAATAAACTCTTCAAAACAAGACCCCACATGGATACATTTCGATAAAAAATTTTAACAAATATTTATCTCATGATGAATATATATTTAAAAATAACCGTCAAACATCACATTAACACTACGCGAACATCACAAAAAATAGCATAGAACATCATGTGTATACTATGTGAACATCACCTATATAATGGAATGTAAAAAAAATAAAAAATAAATTAATGAAGTAATTAATTATAGTTAAATAAAAAGAATAAAAAACGCTACTGAACATCACGAAATACATCATAGAACATCACATTAACACTCCACAAACATTACTAAATGTAGCATAGAACATCATATATATACTACGCGAACATCACATATATCATAAAAAATAAAAAATAAAATTAGGGAAGTAATTAATTATGGTCAAATAAAAAAAAGAAAAAAATGCTATCGAACATCACAAAATATATCTTAGAACATCAATATATATTTTTGAGCATCACAAATATATCGTAGAAAATCGCATTAACACTACACGAACATCACTAAATATAGCATGGAACATCATATGTATACTAGGTAAATATCACAAAATATCATGAAAATATAAAATAAAATAATAAAATTAGTGAAGTAATTATTTAGAGTCAAATAAAAAGAAGAAGAAAATGATACCGAACATAAAAAAAATCCTAGAACATCAATATATCCTTACTGAACATCACATTTCTACTCACAGACATCATAGAACATTACATATATACTATATGAACATCGTATGTGTGTAAACAAAAAAGTGAAACATAAAATTATAAATAGAAAAAAGGAAAGGAAATAAAAATAAAATACTAAAATAAAAAAAAGAAACAAAAAGAATAATAAAAGACCACCGATAAAGAAAAATGAAAAAAGGAAAGGAAAAATAGAGGAAAATAGAAGAAAAATAAAAAAGAAAGAAAAGATGAAAAGAAAGAAAAATATAAAAGGAAAAAATAAAAAATAAAACATGAAACAAATAAGAACCGTATTAGAAAAAAAGAAATAAAAGAAAGATTAAAAAATTAAGAATGAAAAAGCATACGTACGTACCTCGACAGAGTCGGAATGAAAAGAAAAATAATAAGAAAGAAAAAAAGAGAAGCAAGCATAAAAGGGAAATAAAATATAAGAAAGAAAAAGAAAAAGAAAAGCATACGCACCTAAAGATGGCAACGGCCCCCGATACCCGATACCCGACGGGTATTTGATTCATTATGGGACGGGGATGGGATCATATCTTTACCCGCGGACATCTAAATAGGCAAGAATCCATCCCCGATAGGTATAGCGGGTACGGGAACGTTCCCTATTTACCCGTCCCCATTACCCGTTGGGGAACCCGACTATTTGAGCTGTCATGCGAGTATTAGGCCCAAAGAAGCTCAACATAGGTATTTTGGTCCAAATCTGAACAATCATATATATAGTTTGTGTGTTCTAGGAACCCTAGTTCAATTTTTCCTCACCATCTCCGCCAGCAGCACAAGCACGCTTGCCTCACAAGCGCTCGTGCCCCTCGCTTCCTCAGTTCAGTCTCTCTGCGACCTTTGCTCGTCCTCCTCGTAACCTCGCTCCTTCTCCTCGGCATCTCCGAGACTCCGACACTTGTACCCGGGTGAAGAAGAAACGTCTCCGATTGCAAAGCTGCGACCCCAAGTATCCTTGTTTATCGGGTATACAGTACCCGTCGGGTATCTGTTACCCGACCGATGCCCGACGGGTACAAGAATGGGCAAGAATCTATACCCGAGACAGTTAACGGAGACGGGGACATAATGAATTCTCCGTAGCGGAAAAGAGAACGTTCCGGCGATACCGACGGGTACATCCCCGTTGCCATCCATATACGCACCTGTACCACGCCGGCGTCGAAATCGAATGGAAAGAAAAACGTCTCAGGTACAGACGCGCTGGTATCGCTCACTGGGCCGCGCCAGCTCCGATGGATGGGCCGTACAGCCATGGGCCGTTTGCTCCACTGTGCAATACGGAAGAAATACGTACGCGGGGGTGGGGGGTCGGTGCACGGCTTGCGTCCGACTGGTCGGCAGCGATGGATTCCGCATGGCTGGCATCACGGCACGAGTGTCATGGGCATCCATGCGATTAGTGGAGGGTAGGCTCGAGGCAAACAACAGTAAGAGGCTGTGGTTTAAGAGATAAGACAAAAGGAGTTAATAAAAGATAGAATAAACACAAGAGTTTCAGCTTAACTTGAGAATAAAAAGATACTTTATAAGCTAAAAAGATTAAAAATTTAAAAATCAAAATCTAGATTCATGGCGCCACAACTACAATAACAGCCACCATAGTTTAAACTTAAGTATCAAATAAATCAGATTCAAATACATAGATGTGCCTTGAAAAGGAAAAACATTTATCAATATAGGCGAAAAACATATCGATTAGTAGTTGATAAGTTTATCAAACTACTCCCTCCATACCAAACAATAAAGTCGTTTTGGACAAGGCTTGGGTCAACCATTGGGAATATAAATCATGAATAACTTTTAAGTTGTTGGGTTTGAAAATGGGAAAACCATATGTATAGATTTGTCTTGAAAAATACTTTTACAAAAATTTACATATATCACTTTTTGATAAATATCTTTATAAAAATAAGTAGTCAAAATTATGCTTTGGAGACCGTATCGCTCTCCAAAACGACTTTATTTTTTAATATGAAGGGAGTATAGAGTATCTCTATTATGACAATTGTGTTAGAAAATGAACAAAGTGGAAAAATGCAATTAATATAAGTAAATTTTATTAGTCATAGGTATTAAATCGTAACATCTAATACTTATGTCTCCTAGGATTCTAGCCCCTCCTGAAACACGGGCTAATGGATTACTTATTACATCATTAATGGAGGGCAAGTGAATCGGTGTGCTCACCGCATCCTTCCCTCGTTGAAGCATGTCTCCCGATATCGTATCCTATCATATCATCCAACTATTGCAAACGTTCCACTTCCTCTATTTCCTATTTTAGTCTTACAAGAATCCTTAGTCTCACTAGAAGTAGTGAATGTACGTACTAGTGGAACCAGGAGAAATTAGGAAAGAGTAATGCCAAAATGAAAAGAAGCGATCTAGAGCTAAAAGGTAATTCGAGATTGGGGAGTAGGAAGTATCGTGAAACACGTCTCCTCATGATGTCCACATCCTACTAGAACATCAGGCACCCTTCGGGCGCCCTGCAATGATTTCAGGGCATACCAATATGACTGACAAATATAGCTAAGATACAGTCATTGCCATTATCACAATTAGCGTCACTACATATAATGGCCGACATTATTTCAATGAGTACATAGCACAAATTATGAGGCGTCGTACTTCTGCTCTCAAACATGCATTACACAACTAATAGTTACAGTTAGGTTCAGGATCCTTCTTATAACATCGGTCTTAGATCAAGATTTTTGAAAAGCCAGAATATGTCTTCCATCGAGTGTCGTAGCTGACAAAAGAACTTTCACAGTTTTCAATAGTAGGCATATGAAGAGGAGCAACAGAAAAAGGAGGGCTAATTAATGCAATAAAAACACTACCTTGTCACCCATGATGTAGGGTTCATAACATGCACAATGTCTTAGGTTATGCAAGATGTAGCAGGTAGAGTAGAGAGATCCAATTTAAAATATAAAAGAAATATTGTGTCAAACTCTCTGTTCATTGCTTTCCAAAATCCAGCAATAGAAAGCAAAACAAAATCAAAGCTTCAGTAAAAGAAGCCAACACAACAGCAAGAATGGCGTAAAACCCGCTGATTGATATGCATCTCGTAATCATTCGTATATAGTTCCACTTAAGAAGCATCAAGAAGTCATACACAGAAAACCCAGCACTGTCCTCTTACTCTTAGAATCCGTAGGACAACCGATCAAAGCATCTAGACGAACTGCCCAAAAAGATCAATTGTTCCATTCACCGCTTTACAAAATCCAGCAACAGAGCTATGTGTGTGCTTCCATTTCATAGCTGAATTTACTGCCAATGAAGGAGGGGAAATAGTAAGCACCAAGAGATAGCAAACACACTGGAAATAGGAAAACTGCCACAGAAAAAACATTGCAAGAAGCCATAGAAAGAAGCATTACAATAAAAAACATTGCAAGAAGCGATCTGTGACAAAGGAACACATTGGCAGATACACAGTATAAATAAAATGGACAAAGTATCATTTGAGGTAGCAGTAAGAGAGTATTCGAAGCATTGACTAACAATTGGATTATATTCTGATTTTTTTTTGTCCAGTAGAATCCAACGTTGTTGGATGTAAAAGTGATGGATGTCCACATCCAAGTCAGTCCAAATCCAGTGATATCCAAGTGCTAAAGTTCAAATGGATGTTGGACTAAGCTCAATCCAATACCAGGTGTCACCAAACTGTGATAATCATGAGGGCAAAACAAAAATGCTGAATAAGCAAGCATATACGGATGGATCAAATTTAAACTTGATCTTTTTTTTAAAAAAATTCCAATCCTTACTATCTAGCTTATTCCTGCCACAATATGCCCAAGTTGATACAAAGTGACATTAGTAGCAACACCAAATTAAGAAACGGTCATCAATATAAGCACTAAATTCCATTCCTATGTGGTTTTGAAAAGACAACTGCTGAAGGAAGCCGCTAAAACGAAACCATTCAAAGGAGATGAACACAAGGCATTCACGTAAGCATAAACACTTGCATAGTATGGCTACTTGCTAGTGCTAGGTGTTCTACTGAACCTGGACGCATTCTTGTGCTCAGGAAATCAACAGGCCGCCGGCATACCTATGTAGATGAATAGGCGATTGGAACAGAGGGCAGCTAGAACTCACCGGGAAGGATGCGGTGCGTAGCTGACCAGACCTACTGGCTTCACATGCGCCTGCATTGGATCCGGACGGAGCAGCACCGCCATGCTCCCTGCGCACGCACGCGGCTGCGGACGAGCTGTGGCCAGGGTGTGCCAGAGTCGTGCGGCAGGTTCTCTGCAGGTGACGGGTGTCTTATCTCCCTCCTTCCAGATCTAGTGGCTCCTGACGAGGAACGCTCCCACATGATGGAGAGCTCGCAGATCTGGTGCAAGCAGGAACGCTCCCACATGATGGCCAGGGAGCTCGCAGATCCGGTGGAAGCAACGAAGCTGCTGGTCTTCATGTGCCTGGACTATGTCCCAGCTCATGAAGCGAGGTGGAGCCGTCGAGGGCTCCGGCTCTGCCACACCACACTCCTCCCTGCACAGATCCAGGGTGGGGGTGGAGGGAGGGGGGCCGGAATCGGGGCCACTACACCAGATCCGGAGGTGGAGGAGCTCACCTCACCAGATTATGCGCCATAGTCGAGATCGCGCACATGTCGACGCGGGGAGTCCGTCGAGCTCTGCCGTATCCGTCGAATGCCGCGGAGCTCGTGCGGCTGCCCGGGCTCCAACGACGGCGGCGAGCAGGGAGAAGAGGAGAGTGGAGAACGGGGGGGGTTAGGGTTGGGGGCTTCGGGCGGGTGGAGGGGTCTGTCTGAAAAAAATGAATCAAGTCTCGAACTCTTATTCACGTATGAATAAATTTATATCAGGGGGTTATATAAAACATTTGCAGACGTGGACACTGTTTATGGAAGCTGGGCTGGATTGTGGGTTAGTTTCTGAAAAGTATGAGGGGTTTTATGAAAAATGAACAACGCCAGTTGTCAGCACGGGGATGAGCCACGAATCCCCGAATTCTCTGGTGCTCCTGGAATCGAGTGGGTTTTAAATCAACCACGACAGAACTATAGAGGATGCAATGCAAATAGCTTCAAATAAACACGCTGGCATAGATGAGGTGCTGGAGGTGAGATGCTATCGAATCGGACGTGGTTGCAGCTCTAGGGTACTCTATTGAGATCAAGGCATGGGAAGAAGATGTAATTGGTATGCATTTCCAAAAGCACACATGCCAGAAGCAGTATTTGCATTGGTCATCATGCAGCCGCAGCTTTGCCAGCAGTATTTGCATTGGTCATCATGCAGCCGCAGCTTTGTCAACAGTTAGGCCTTGTTTAGATGTCAAAAAAATTTGGTAAAATGCACTGTAGCGGTTTTCGTTGTTATTTGGCAATTAGTGTCCAATCATAGTCTAATTAGGCTTAAAAGATTCGTCTCGTGGATTTCGTCTAAACTGTGTAATTAGTTTTATTTTTTAATTATATTTAATGCTTCATGCATGCGTCTAAAGATTCGATGTGACGGAGAATCTTGAAAAATTTGGCAAAATTCTGGGGAACTAAACTGGCTCTTAGCTGACTGGGTGGCCCGATGCCGGAAGACTTTTCGAGGCTATTCCCACTGTGTTGCCGCCACTGTATTCCCACTAGTTATATAGGAGGGCTTGTTAACGGATCGTCTTCGGAAATCGATATCCGGAGAAGGACCTCCTAAGAAACCTTTCTAGAAACAGTTGTCACACAAATAAATTTATAATTTTCCAAATTATGTTAGATAAAGACAACCATGTATCAAATTGTAGAGCTCAACAAGATCTACAACTTTGTAATTCATATTTTTTTATTTTGATCATTTAGGGAGCTCAAATATTCATCCTAAACTCTCGGTTTTTTTCTTAATCTCTAAAGGGTCTCTTAAAAGTGTGGAGATCATTCTCTCCAAAGCTACTAAAGAAAAGATTCTCCTATTACAATCAGCAACAAGCATGTAGTAAGATGGTAAAGAAGGCTCGTGTGTGAGTGGAGGTCTCGGATTTGAATCCTACAACACACGCGCGTGTATTATGCACTAAAAATCGAGTGATCAAAGCAGCTAGTGCAGTGGTCGAAGATTGATTATATCTTGTCTACAAGATGCAAGAGTCAAAGTTTCTACATAAACAGCATGCTAGTGAAGTTGCGCCTCCCTCTACCTCTCACGATTTGAGCTCGATGATTAATTTGGCGACGTGTACTCTAGTGAAGTTTCTATATATACTCATGAATGTTGATAGTACAAAATATTTGTGCTATCGAACTGAAGAAGTTAACTCACATTTATATACGATTGAGCGAATGGTGCACTGCAGCACGCACCAACCAACTGGTGTTGAGATAAGGGTGGGATGCTAGTAGAGCAATTAGGAACAGTTTCATAACATTTGATTATATGCATGTACACCAACTTAAAATGTCTGGAGACCGTCATTTCTGGATGCAGCAAATAAATGCTGATGCCTTTTTGGTACATGAAGATATGATCATCATTACGTTTTGCCAGTGGAGTACTGTACTACCACAAATGACCAACTTCCACTCGTTAAGGTATTGCCTCTTATAAGAAACCCTTTTCTATCCAATCAACATATATAGCGATCAATGTATACATGCCAATGATCAATGTACCTGATCTTCTCTTACCACAGCTTCGCTCTTCTTCCTCTGTATGTCCAATACCAACGGGGGTGCAAGTGCAATGGATCGGAGGCAGTCAAGCCAAGCCATTCAACAGTTCTGGGAATAGAAGGCATCGGGAACACATCGGTTTGGGCAACGCTGGCGCTGGCCATCTGCTTACCCTTTGCCATCACTAGATATTTAGTACCTGCGGCCGTACCTCTGCCACCTGTAACAAGCCCAATCAGCATCACATCTAAACGGTGATCGATGTGGCCTTGTGCAAGGCATGGTTGCTATATGAGCTGAGGGCAGTGCTAGAACTACGAGGATCTGGTAAGCATAGGTATGGCGGCCGACAAGCACCACTGTGAGGAGGGAACACAAAAAAAAAGTGCAACGATGGCTGAAGATGATAATGTACCGTACATATGTGAGTATATACATGGGGTGGGGCACGGCTTGGTGAAGCAGATAGATCCATGGGACGGCCGGACGGGAGGAGGGAGAGTCAAACAAGAAAGACAAATGATCCATGAAAAGAAATTTGAGGAAGCTACTGCTTGGTGGCTAACTTTTGAGCCTCATATGTTTGCTAAGCACTTCTAGCATGCGTTTATGCTTAAACACACACACAGAGAGAGAGAGAGAGAGAGAGAGTTGTGTATCGATCACTGTATTAAAAAATTCAACAATTCATGACATATGCTGGCTGTGTGACAACCAAAGACTAAAGAGATGACAACCAATATTAGTAGTCCCTCCGTCCCTAAATAAAAAAAAAATCAAACTCTAGAGTTGCACTAAGTTAAACTACAAAGTTTGATTGAATTTATAGAAAATATACTTAATATTTATGACACCAGATTAGTATAATTAGCAGAGTTTTGCATTCGATGGTCATCTTAAAAAAATGTTTAGCATGCTGGTTGAAAAGCCAACTAGCTTGTATGTGACAGAACACAGAGGAGCTGAAAATGAACGTGTTATTGAGCTCGTCCAAGTGATCGGTTCAAATATTCTAGCTCTGTAAGCCTATAATCCACACTAGAAGGGAGACAACCTGTATGTTTTTCTCAAGAAACTTGAAATGATCATAGATTAGTTGGTTAGATTCTTTGTGGTGGAATCTACCCACCCGGATTCAAGTCATCGACTTGGTACGGGTGCTCATATTTTTCTGGATTTATTCCAGGATTTAACAGCCCTATGCTTTCAGTGATAGGCGCCAGTGGTGACTTCGTGAATCTCGAGATCTGCCGGCTCAGTCCTTCGGGGCTGCTCATAGGGGTAGGGTTTGCGTACGTGTGTTCATAGAAGTGAGTGTGCGTGCGTGTTATGGGCGTCTGCGTTGTACTATGTAATTCTCAAAAAATAAAGTTGATCCCAACCAGCTTGCCACAGAGTGGGAAATTAATCCACATATGGGTAAGAAGATCATAACACTACTTTGACAATCAATGTACCACTGTCAGAGTTAAATAGCAGAGGCTACCATCTAGGACACAGACAACAAACAAACCAGAAGAGAGGCCACTGAAAATCACCAGAACTTTCCAGGATGCTCAGAAATGTAACATCTCCAGTTTTGCAATTGAGCAGTCAACAAAGAAACATGTCCAAATAAACCAACTAGCTTGTATGTGGCTGTCGACTAAAATGCTCGGCAGTTCACCAAGGGGCTACCCGCGATGGTAAATTGATTAGTAGAGGTGCGTGTGATCAGGAACTAGATGGTAACAGAGACCCAAGACATAAGATTTATACAGGTTCAGGCTATCAATGTGACGTAAAACCCTACGTCCTGTGGTCAGTTGGTTTGTATTGCTGGAATACGAGATGAGATGGGGGATGCCGACTAGGGGACCCCTGCCCCTCCTTATATACTCTGGAGGGTTAGGGTTACAAGGAAAGTATCCTAGTCGGTTACATGGTAAGTATTACAATATCTGTAGTATCTGATCAGATCTTCTAGGTGCCTTGCGGTGTACGCCGAGCAGTGCCATGCGCCGCAAGTCTTTATGTCATGGGTTGGACCGTCCCTGATGGTGCAGCTCATGTCCCTTATCGTGGGTACCTGGGGTTATACCCCCACAGCTAGTCCCCGAGCGTCTTATATCTGCTTGGTGCCGCCGTCTTGAGCAAATCTGAGGAGTCCAGTGTAGAGCCGACCAGTTTAACTAACGACCTGGGCAATGAAAGTCAAAGCCGACCAGTTTAACTGGTGACCCGGGCGGCGAAAGTCGAGGCTGACCAGTTTAACTGGTGACCTGGGTAGTAAAAGTCGAGGCCGACCAGTTTAACTGGTAACCTGGGCGGTGAAAGTCAAAGCCGACCAGTTTAACTGGTGACCTGGACGGTGAAAGTCGAGGCCGACCAGTTTAGCTGGCCAACATACCTCGGATAGAACCAAGTAAGGCTCACCAATAGGATGTAAGGAGCTCAAATAAAAAATTTGAAGATTCTTGGTCGGTGAAGTGTACACACTTAAGTGCCAAGTGCAATGGCGCTGACGATGTAGTCATCAGAGCAGAGCAGAGGCATTAAGCGACAAATTTGACGTAGTCAAAACATCATGAAGAAGAACCAGTACATGCACCGCAAGGTGTAGTGTACACACTGTAGTCCCCGAGCCTGAGATTAGGTGTAGGGTACACCTAGTGTCAAGGTCTTGAAGAAAAATGAGCAGTCCCCGTGTAGCTGAGAATGCCATCAGTCCCCAGCGTTGCCGAGAAATCAAGTGATCAAAAAGCCCGTACATTCACCACAAGGTGAAGTGTAGACAGTTAGTCCCCGAGCCTGCTAGAAATGAATGAATCTTATAACAAGGTCAAAGAAATCAGGAGCTTGATATTCCAGTGTTGATGCGTGAAATAGCCAGCGTCATCTGCCTTGTATCTACCAAGGCCCTGACATGCTGCCCAAGATCGTCACCCTGATCTGAACAGCATGGAGCAGCTTGATAGCACACATGGCATGCAA